TACCAAGTAAAAGGCCATCACCTATCACCACAAAGGCTTCCACACCCAGCACATGACACTGTGTTCCCTGAACTAAACACGGCACAGGCAGAAGCCACAGGGAGAACACCCACGTTGCTCCTGCAGGTGTCCTCATGCCATAATCCCTGCAAATGCACTCATGCAGAGGCTATTCCAGACAGTTTTTAAAAAGCAGGGCATTCAGCAGAATAGAGAACATAATATAATTCAGAATAACACACATGCTAGGAAAGGCTAGAGGCGCAGGTACTGAGATGACAGCAGTGCGGGTGAAAGCACGGGGACTTACGTCCTCCCTGGGCACTTTCACCCGCACTCTGATAAGCACTTACTTTTGTAATCAGATAAAACCACTGTAAGTAGCTGTAAAACCTTTTGACAAAAAACATACTTCTGAGGTGTCCCAAGGATGTGGTCGATGTCTTCATGAAGGGCATCGGGTGACGTGGCATCAGAGCCAAGGAGGGAGCACAGCGAGTCCCGGTCACTCTCTGACAAGTCAAAGTCAAATTTTTCCACTGCAAAAAGGATAATTAGGCCCATTCTCAGTTTGCTCCTCACTGGGCAGTCTTTCGGCAGAGACTCCCCACTTCTGTCTAGGAACGGTTCCATGCGCTGCTTCAGGTATGTCCACAGATCATTCTTCACCTGGCCCAGGAGGAAAGGAAGACGCTTGAGCCCGGGCCGGACCTGCTGTTAGCACCGCAGCAGCCGGGCAGAGAGCTCTGCGGAGGGGTCACCCACTGCCCTCCCCCACCTGGCCCTGAGCAACCCAGGCCTTTGGGAGCAGCGGGGCACACAGGGTTGGGGCCCCCGATGCTTACAAGGGTTCTACTGTCACCTCAGAGATGGCTCCAAGTGTGTCTCCACCCACCAGGCCACCAACAGTGTGGGGGAGGTGCTGTGAAGGAGGGTCCACCCCTTCCTGCCACTCTGCCCCAAGACTGTGCTGGGGTCGGGGTTCCGACAGCGACCAGGAGGAGGGAGAGATGGGGGGGCAGAGAACTCCCAAGAGGCAGCACTGGGAGGAAAGTGATAGGAGGGTCTCCCACTCCCCACCTGCACCTGGGCCCATGGGTCATCTGCCACTAGCGGGTCGAGGGACGCTGCCTGCCCAGCAGGTAGAGCTGATCGTGATAGTAGAGGAGCCCAGTACCTTTTCCCCCTCATACTGCAAAGTGTCCCAGTGCTGTGCCTGTCCTTCATAAACCATAGGCTTGTGTATGACAGAGTAAAACTGCTGAAGCTGGGTGAAAAAGTTATTTAAGTTGATGGTGTTCCAGGTCTGGAGGATGCTGAATATGCTGTCTAGCATGACTGTGGCGGCGAACCGCTTCCCCTTCACCAGATCCTTCCTCGTCCCGTCTGTGAAATAGTCCACGGTTCTCTGTATCTTTCCAGGAGGCTTCATACAAATGATGTCATCATACTGATGCCAATCTGAGAGGGACAGAAAGAACAATGGGGCCCCTAACATCATCCAGACCCACGAGATCTGGGCACAACCAGAAGGTTAATGTCAATTGGAAGAAACACGCAGTGAATGGGCCAAAGGAAGGAAACAAAGGAAAACCCAGAACTGGTAAACCAACGACAGGTGGAACTCACTCCATCTAGCTCCCCCCTCGGAGAAGCAAGTCCAGCCCCCTGTGCGAACAGATACCCAGACACCCCAGGGATGAGGAAAACCCAAGGTCACAGAATTCAGCTGGCCTGAAAATCCTTGGACCAGATCTCTAACTCTAGAGCTCAACAAACTTGGTAAGTGAGCTCCTTAAAACATAATCACACAGAGGTTAAACATTTTATACTGAAACCACATCACTCACTAGCAACTGAGCACCACGCTGGTCAATTATGTAGCTGGTGCAAATGCTGGTTTCCTCTGTATTGGGAACAGGGACTCCCACCCATCGTGGACAGTGCCAATCACACAGCAGCCACAGGCAGCCTTTGGCCGAGTGCCTGGCATGGGCGAGGGGGGGCTGAATTCATAACCTTTCTTAGGGTTAGTTGCAAACTATGTGAGTGTAAGCCTAGAAACCCAGCAAGTAATGAGAAAACAAAGGAGGTCCATAAGATGGTCAGAGGCCACACAAATGCACCCAGACAGTAAGCAGTGAAAACCAGCCAGAAGTCAGAAGTCCCTGAAGAGTGCCCTGCACAAGCTGTGGTCTCCTCTGGCAGGCCCTGCCTGCCCCAGCCCACCCATCCCTGGCCGGCGGGAACCTGTAAGTGCTTACACGGCTGCTCAGTCTTTACCTCCTTGTGGAAGGTTCTCCTGACCTCCAGGCAGATCCCCTACCATGTGCTCTTTTAGCTGGGGCACCAACTTTGCAGCACTTTACAGAGCAGAGATTCCATACACTAATGGAATTATTGGACTATACCTCTTCTCCCCTCAAAACTTAAGTTCTAGGAGTAAACTATCCAGCTACTAAAAATTATGTTTACAAGAAAAATTTAGTCTGTAAAATGTTAAATCTTCTGTCTTTATCCAAGGTGGACTAACAGGGATTGTATTTACACTCTTCAGTGTCTGGCTAAAACAAGTTAAAAATAAACTGGACAAAATAAATGACTGTTTTCAAGACACTGGACACCAGGCTGGGAAGGACACTGATCCCTGAAAGAAAAGAACGAACAAGGGGGGCCCATTTCTTCAGANGATCCCCTACCATGTGCTCTTTTAGCTGGGGCACCAACTTTGCAGCACTTTACAGAGCAGAGATTCCATACACTAATGGAATTATTGGACTATACCTCTTCTCCCCTCAAAACTTAAGTTCTAGGAGTAAACTATCCAGCTACTAAAAATTATGTTTACAAGAAAAATTTAGTCTGTAAAATGTTAAATCTTCTGTCTTTATCCAAGGTGGACTAACAGGGATTGTATTTACACTCTTCAGTGTCTGGCTAAAACAAGTTAAAAATAAACTGGACAAAATAAATGACTGTTTTCAAGACACTGGACACCAGGCTGGGAAGGACACTGGTCCCTGAAAGAAAAGAACGAACAAGGGGGGCCCATTTCTTCAGAGAGTATCTAGGCTGCCGTGCAGGGTGGGACACACTGAGGGGAAGCCCAGGATGCCCAGGCTGAGGACACAGCGCTACAAGTCCAGAGACACCAAGACAGCTGGAGTCTGCAGGACGGGGCCGCAGAGGGAGCTGCAGAGGGAGCTGCAGACGGCAGCAACAGATGACTGGACAGGCAACACGTGGTCGCGCCGACACACAGCGGGAGCCTGTGGACAGGGCCTGTGGAGTCCTGTCCACAGTCACCATCGGGAAGCCACTTGGGAAGGGAGTCGGACCAGCAGCTCCTGCTTTCCTTCTCCTCCCCGTGACCCTGCCCTATCCCGGCCCCAGCCCTGCCTACAGCATCCTTTTGTGCAAAATCCTTTCCTAGGTTCCTCATGCAAGTGTGCGGTTAGGTTAAACTGAGTAGGAGCCGAAATGTCCTTAACTGACCAGAGACACACTTCCATAGCCAGTGTTGTTATTCATCGAGGCTAGGACAACATTGCCACACATGCGCCCGTGCACTCTGGAGATGGGTGTCCGGACAGGTGTCCAAACCTGCACTTCCGAGGCATGACCAGAGAGCCCCACCGGTCGCTTACCTCCGGAGCCCAGAAGCGACGACTTGATGCACAGACAGCGGTTCACGTACTCGCCTTTCTGGGGACGTCTGTAGATGAACTCGTACTCGGCAGAGCCCTTGTCACGCTGAATGACGTACTTGTAAGGAATGGATCTGTCCAGGTACTTCTTGGAGATGACGAGGCTGCCTTCCACAAGAGACCCATGGTCATGCAAGTCTCTGTGAATAAACAGGAACCAGCCAGTTATTTCAGTTCTTCTCCAACACAGCACGGAGCGCAGACCCAAAGCTATACATCAAAGCTGACCAAAAGGATGCTTCTAGAACAAGGCACGATTCCCAGACAGAATGGAGAGAACAAAGGCAGCGGTGAAATGTGACCAGAAATGCACGACAGGGAATGTTTGCTTGAAATACCTACTTTCCCAAAGTCTAACATGTCATAACTTGATAAAAATTATTTAAACACATGTCAGAGAGCGGGCATCGCCACCCTGCCCGGGGGCTGCCCTGGCCCTCAGACCACTCACTTGGTGTAGCACAGCTCACATGCGTTACTCCACTTGGGCCTCCCGAGTTCTTCTCCCCCCCTGACGAACACCTTGTGCTGGTCGGGGTTGAAGGCGAAGTGTCTGGAGACGATGGCATGGAAGCACACTGTGACTCCTTCACTGGGGCTCGGCACGCTAGAGGAACGCCAGGACAGAAACAGCGATTATGCCCACCCCTGTCCACCAGTCCGCGCATACGTGCGAGCACAGGCGCACGTGCTCCTCATCTCATTAGCGTGCACTGACCCGCACCCTAGCACGACACAGCCACGTCTCAGGCACACCGCAAGCCATCCTCACTCCCTCTACTGCGGAGGAGGAAGGTGGGTGCGATCTCCCCCCTCTGGCTCCGAAGGGCTGGGGGTGGTGGCAGGAGGGACCGGGTAGGGGTCTGGCAATGACAGCTCCTCTCCTGAGTTCTGTGAGGTCCACGTTGGCTCTAGGACCTCAGGGACTATTAGGAAATAAGGAACTGGGATGGAGCCCTTCCCCCACCTTCCCCAAAGAAGGGGTTCCCTTTTCCTCCAAAGCTAAACTCGCCAAAAAAGCCGACAGGAAGCGCAGCCTGGGCACCCCTGGGAGCTGCGCCCCTGCCCCGCAGAGGTCCGCACTGGCTCTCCAGCAGGGGAACACCTACCTCGCCCTAACGTCCCACGCACCAGCTTCCTGGTTTCTCTGCTCCTTTTCATTTTTCACAACAGCTGCGTAATTTCTGTTATTCCCTTCTGGTTTCTTCGGGTCTTTTGGCTTCACCCTCTCATCTTTACCTGCCTTCTCTCCAGCTTCCTGAAATGAGCAGCCAAACCCCAACCTTCCAGGCCAGCTTTCACATTTGCCCCTATCACTGACGCTTCTCACAGTGGCCAGAGCAGCCACGTCCCTTCCCTGCTCAGAAACTTCCAGGGCCTTCTGGTCCACTCACCATGGCCTCCAAGGGCCCCTCTCTCCAACTGTCAATACCCTCTCCCCCTCCATCCTGGGGGCACCCGCTTCCTCGCTGCTCTGGGAGCAGGGCCACCACTCTGTGCCTCAGGGCCTTTGCACATGCCATTCCCTTCGTCTGGGCCACGTCCTCAGACATTCCTATGGCTCCCCCCTTCCTCCTCTGGCCTCTCCTCAGAGAGGCCTTGCCCATCAAGTCTGACTGCAGGGGCCACATTCCCTGTGTGCCCACCTTGTTGCCCACCCCAGCACCCACCCCTCCCCCCTGGTTTTCTCCACGGCACTTCTAACAACCTGACTTGGCTTTCTGTCCCTCTTCCTTCTAAAATGTGAGCTCCATGAGGGACGGGGGCTTTGTCTCCTTTACGGCTGTATCCCTAGCCCTTAACAATATTCACTGACTGATTAAATGAAAGATGAGCTGCAGAAGGACTGAGGCCACAGGGGCAGCCCTCAGGGCAGGAGCAAGGAGGAGCAAAGCTCCCTGGGGCCCACCCTGGCTGGAGCGGTACCTGGCAGTGTCTACTGGAAGTAGTTGTGGTTGCTGGCGGCTGTTTGGTTGTCTGAGTCTTATCTTTAACTTCTTCCTCTGCCCCTTTAACTGGCTCAGCTGCAGCATCCACTGCCTGGAAGAAATGAAGCCTCCAAAGTGTCAGAGCCAAGGTAACCAGGTGGCATGGGCAGACTGACCCAATGGCTTAAGGGTCAGCATCTGCTGCCAGTTGATGACAGGGTGAGCCAGCAGCTCCTCTCTGCCCCCTCCCAGGGATCAAGTCCTAAAGGAAGCCCTCCCGGGCAGGGAGGTCTGAACTGTCCAACCGAGCAAAGGTATCGAGGCCATCCCCCGGTCACCATGGAGGACTCACCCCAGAGGCTGGGGCCCCTGCCTGTTGCCTAGCGGTCTGGGTCTGCAGTTCCTTCCTGGGCTCAGACTTGTCCCCTGTAGACTCAAGCAACAGGAGCTCCTGGGCAGCATCTTCAGCCCCAGGATGACCTTCACAGGTGGGGGAGGTGGGGGTGGTCTGGCTGGCCCTCTCCTGGGAGAGGCCTCTGCCCCCAGAGGGGATGGGGTTGTCGTGGTCCTTCCCCTCCGTCTGGTCCTGGGGTGTGGAGCTGCTTTGAGCCTCGCCTCCCGTGGCTGCTCCCACTCCTCCTGCGGTCAGATCCTGGGCAGGGCTGCTGTGGCCCTCGGGTTGTGCTGTGGGGCTGTCACACACCAGTGAAGTCATGCCAGCGCCCAGGGGATGGCTGGGCTGGCTGGCTGGACCACTGTGCTGGGCTTGGCTTTGGGGCAGGGCTGTGTCCCGGGACCCACGACTTGAAAGCATGTTCGGACTCCAGGGGCTGGAGAGAGACAGGGACAGGGAGCCCAGCTCTGAGGAAGCAGGCATGTCCTGATTCTTTTTCTTCTTCCTACTCTTCTTTTTGCTCTAAACAGAGAAAGAAACATTTTATTTCTTAGATTTACTCCACTCTAGCCAATGCTTTCCTCCAGTTCTCTCTCCAGTTTCTCAAGTGTGTCAAGCTTAGCTCGCCTAGAGCACCCTACATCTGTTAAATCCACAATCTCGGGGCTGGCCCGGTGGCGCACTGGATAGTGCGCCGCTTGGGAAGCGCGGCGGCGCTCCCGCCCGAGGGTTCGGATCCCACATACAGACCGGTTCCCGCTCACTGGCTGAGCGAGGCGCGGGAGCAACGCCGAGGGTTGCGATCCCGTTGCCGGTCCCCGGTCCGGTACGGGGGCGACACTGAGGGTTGCGATCCGTTGCCGGACACGGAAAAAGACAAAAGACAAAAAAATAAAAATAAAAATAAAAATAAATCCACAATCTCTTCATCTTGGAAAGAATGAAGTTCAGAACAAAAGGAAGGAGATGGGCACAGTCGAGGGACCATGGCTGGCCGCACTTCGGCACAGCATTCTGCCAAAGCCATGCCAAGCACCTCGTACAGAGTCGCTTCTTCTCGGATGCCCGTGGGATATGAACATTACAAAGCACACGCGGCTGCCCATGTGTAATGCTCCTGTGTCACACGTCATGGACACAGAAACCGAGGTAGAGAGGGCCGGCCCGTGGCTCACTTGGGAGAGCGTGGTGCTGATAACACCAAAGTCAAGGGCTAAGATCCCCTTACCAGTCATCTTTAAAAAAAAAAAAAAAAGAAAGAAACTGAGGTAGAGAAACAGATGAGACTGAAACAGGAGCAGGTGCCTGGGCGGGGCCTTCCTGCACCCCAAGCAGGCACACTGCGCTCAGCGACAGAGCCCTGAAGAGCAGGTGCGCAGGACCCGGGCCCCACTGGGGTTTGGTACCCAGCCTCAAAAGGGGACACTGGTCTGCAGTAAGTGCCAATCGGGGCATTCAGCACAGTGGCTCATAAATCCCTGAAGACTGGTCTCATGGGATGAGGCCCCGTCACACTGACAGGCAGCTGGGTGTGAACCTGGGCCTGCCCCACACCACCACACCTGGGGGTCGTCTGGGAAAGAGAAACAAGAACACACACGCCAACATGCCCCCAGGGTCCAATCTGCCCTCTCCAGCAGCTGGCAGCAAGCAGACAGGAAAACGCCATAGGATTCCATCACTGCCACTCCCAGGAGCCCCTCGGCTGATGGCCAGCCCCCATGCAGCCCTGAGGAGGAGGCAGAGAGACTACCAGGTCAGGGTACCCAGGGGCCACAGGCCACAGCTGGACAGGGCCAAACCCACCCAGGGGCCAGCAGTCCCTCCAGTCACACCTGGCTTCCCTTCCCAGCCCAGGTCTAGTGATCCAGCGTTTCCCCTTTTTAAATTCAAAGGAAACACAAACCCACCATGCAAATGCATAGGAGGCCCCCAATCTACCATGTCCCTGCCCCCACACACTGGGCCTGGCCAGGCGCCCCAACCTGACCTACCACACCTCCGGGAGCACCGCGCACTGCCCCCAAGAGAGCACGTGTCACCCCTGAGATGACACATTTAGTGCATTTTGGTGCAGAGGGGGAGAACCGCCCCCCGATGTTGGCAGACTCAAAAACCGGGGCTTGAAGTAAATGAAGGTGAAGGCCCTGGTGCCTGCAGGGTCCAAGGGGAGGTCTGACCAGGGCCAGGTCCTGCAGATGGGCACCACAGGATGTAGGCGCCACGGAGCTAAGAGTGGGGGGACTAGTGGTGGTGGGCCTGGCTGGTGAAGAACACAACCTGCTGTGGGCCCCTGACTTTGGACAAGATGGAGGAGGGTCTTGTCCAAAGAGAGCAGCGCTGATGGCAGGAGGCTGAGGTTAGAAGGACCGAAGTGCAGAGGCGACGCCCAGACATGGGCCAAGCGTGGGGGGCAGTGGAGCGGCTGGCAGGCCAGGCAGAGGGGATGGCCCATCCTGCAGCAGGCACTGACAAAAAGGCTGCAGTGATAAGCAGGGAGGGCTGGTTGATACATGCCGGCATCCCCTGCATCTGATCCCCTGCATCCAGCACTCCCTTCCAGCAAGCTGGCACCACCAGGGCACTTGTTCTGAAACGGCCGCCTGGCACCAGTGGTCTGACTCCCTGGTCAGCTTCCTCTCATGCAAAAGAGACGACGGGCAGTGTGTGTGGTGGCGAAGCCTCCGCCAACATGAGCTGTGGCCGTGAAGAAGCCACTGGGTGGGACCCTCCACTAACTAGCGGTGTCTTTATGACAAATGCCAGCCTCTACATCACAGGCTGGTCAGCTGCCCAAGGGGGACTGCTAAGGGGGAGGAAAGAAACCTGTCAAGGATCAGGCAGATGCTGCGCGAACCTTCTCTGTAGGTGCCACAGTCAGCCGTGGTTGCTGCGGGGGCCTGGTTGGTTACATCGGCACAGAAAACTGCTGAGCCTGGGGGAGGTGACCACACAGTCCCTGCCCTGACAGCTGCCTCGTGCCTCTGGGGGCTGCTAGAGTTCCCACCCAGCTCTCCACAAGCCATACTACCCAGGCAACTCTGGGTGGGTTGCTGAGCCACTTCATGCTTCAGTTTCCCCATCTGTAAACTGGAGATGACAGATGTCCCTAGGTCACAGGGTCATCATTGGGATGACTGACAGGACAAAGCACGTTAAGAATCTTACAAAGTTTACACAGGTCCAAAGTGGCAGCAGACAGCTGCTGAAAGGCCAAGGAGGAAACGAACATCAGTGCAAAGAAACAGAGAGATGCCTGGACTTGGGGGATACCATCTAGGGGCCTCGATCAAGCCTCGCCTGCAGCCTCACGATTTATCAGTTATGCCGGCAACAAATTCCCTTGGTATTAACCAGTCTAAGCTGAGTTTTTTTTTTTTTTTTTGGTCTTTTGTCTTTTTCCGTGTCCGGCAACGGATTGCAACCC